TAAACGGCCAGTGGCTAAAGCATTATTCTGATAATAGATATTGGTTGATTTTGAAACATATAATAGTATTTGGTTGGATACAAGTCTAAATAGCAATAAGTTTTACATACAGTATATAAATTACCATACCCTAGTCTCTCATGAGTCCTGTTCTTCCAGTAGTCGGCAGTGGTGTGTGAGTCGATCATGGCACCTGCAACAAAAGGGAGGTGCTTAACATACTCCAGTTTAAAGTAATGCCCTCGCATTTCATGAATCCACCACAAAACCTTGGGAAGCACACGAGGCACATTATCTTGGAGCACAGCATCCAGCCACTTGCCGGCCACGGCTGTATTTAAAACAACTAGATCAGCCTTAAGAGCGGTATCAACTGCTTCCTGCCCCTTAGCAGGTAAAACCTGCATTGAATTAAAAGGGACAAGAATTAAAAAAATAAAATAAAAAAATGAATCAGTTTCCACCAAAGGCCAGTCATCGAGATCACGAGATATGAACTTCGGCATACCTCCACTCCTCTGTCCTTCATTCTTTCTTCTAGACTGTAAATCACTTCATCCAGTTCAGTGGGCTTCTGATTAGTGATCCACACAACCCGAGTGCCAGCAGCTCTCAACAAGAAGGCAAGTTCCATTAACAGTAACGGTCCACCTAAGACAAGACGTTGCCAAACAAAATTATCACCCAATAGTTTTGTAAATGATATAGTAGTTAAAAAAACATTCGTGCTCCTGAAGGCTGCTTTCTTAAACTATTTGTCTTTCCTTATATGAAACGGTTCACAGCTTAAAGCTCTTTAACCAAACAACTCAAAAACAAAAACTATATCCCTATGCCTCTTTTTAACCAGAGCATACTCTTTCACAAGCTCAAGCAACTAATGGCGAATGACAGTATCATCTCGTTCTCGTCCTAACCAAGGAAGGAATATTACTTTCTAATCAGATTTCTCCTCAACAATTTCAGTTAAAAATAGAAAAGAATAAAGCAACTAGTAATGTAGAACAGAAACTTACCGGAAAGCGAGAGCTCGTGGGAAACCAAAAGGACGAGCTTCGATTTCATAAAACTGAGCGGATCATCTTCTTTCTCGTGAACGGGAGAGTTGAAACTCTTGCTGTCAGAGTAATCCTGAGAGTTGCAGGCTCTGAACGAGGCTCCGATGAAGAAGGCAATAGCGGTGGAGAGGGCGATGCAGAGTAATATCACCAGCGACCATCTCTTTGGGATTGAAATCAACGAATGCCTCGCCATTATAGGGTTGCTTATTGCTGGCATGCTAAAGATCAAATTTGACACCAGACTGATGCATTTTAGGGCGCAAATTTGGGGATTTCAAAGGTAGAACAGTTGAAGATTGTAGGTTACAGCTCAATTGGATCTAAAGCATTCACTTCACAGTTCACACTCCATAGCCATTCTTCCAGGTTCCATCGCATCGAAGACGCCGTCTATTTGGGCAAGGCTGGCAAGCAGAGGTTGAAAAGAAAAAATGCGATTTATCGTGTCGTATTTACATGATAATAAAATTAGAAATTTTACTTTTTATTCTATTTAATTTGATCTGTATTAAATTTTTAATGTGCATGTATAGGTGACCGGAAATGCTTTCCTACCCAAGGTGGACACATGTTAATATGTCCGTCGCTTATGTGGCATGCACACAGATGATGTTAATATATTAAAAAAAATACATCATTAATGTATGCATGCCACATAAGCGGTGAACATATTAACATGTGTCCACTGAGGTAGGGGAGCATTTCCCATATAATTGACATCCATATTTTATTTTCAATTATGTCCCGTCTTTTTTGACTTAAACGTATATCTTTTTTACCCCGATTGAATACTCTTTACATCAAAATAATAATCTTCCACTATGATTCGCAAAAACTTCATTAAAATGAATAAATATATAAATGAAGAAATTTCATTCATGCATTCAATCACTTGGAACTACTTTGGGGACTCAGTTTGCTTGCAGGGATAGGATAAGATACAATCTATCTAGTGGGAATTTAAATTTTAAACCCTTGCTTGTTAGTTGTAATAATTTTTAGCCTGCATTTTTTTATTTTTTATTTTCATTTTTCTCCTATTCTCTTCCTTTTCCCCCATTATTGCCTCTTCTTTTCCCCATTTGTTGAAACGGGTGTGGGTCTTGCAAAAAATGGATGGCCACTGCTCGTCACTTCTAAAAAATTAAAAGACATTTATATAATTTACCATTTGAATCCTCCAAGATATAACTAATCACCCGAAACTGGGGTGGATTAGTTACCCACCATAGATTAAACCTCCGGTAATCCCGGGCTCATGGATATCCTACAGGCAGTAATCGTTCAAACAGATGCATGATTATGGTATGATAAGTGCAGCTATCCTGTCCACTCCAGGACAGCAAATAAGGCACACTCACAATTCAGTTGACTCCATGAAGAAAAAATTACATGTAAAATAACTCCGGTAATGTCGACACTAATTTAGGTGCACGTCTGGTCACCGCATACAAAGTGCCATTTTTCACATTTTATCACCATAGCACATAGCACATAGTTATTAAACATAAACCAGCTCAATCAAATCCAACCACTTATAACACACGCTCTCTGTCGAACAACAGCACCACACAAGTCTACGGTCAAATTCGAAGCAGCTATAGTTTGATTTGTGCCACCTCATTTATTAGTAGATTCCAACCATTTACCTTCAGAAAACATACAAACTACTGATACTAGATACATAAATACATCGACGTTAGAACATTAGAAGCTATCAAATGTTTCCATGCCATGCAAGGCGTCCAGAGCAAACGTAAAAATAAAGACTTTTTGTTCTCCAGAAATTCATATTAACTTTTTTTTTTTTTTTTTTATCCTTTTCTTCCCCTAACTTTTACAGGGAATAAATTTCAACAGACCTTGAATGAGACAATTTCACAAGTTTTCTCGGGAAATAAGGGATCATAATCACACTTTATCATCATGGAACCACCATCTCGTCTCCTTGGGAGATCGCCCGTTCTTACAGTTCTTCACATAACGGTCGTTGTCAGCTGGCCGTTGCTGCATGGGCCCCCAGATGTAAGTAGACTGAATGTTTAAGACAAGAGAGTGAACCAAAATCGAATATCAAAATGCAAAATATTAAAAACTGTACATACCTTAACTGGGGAGCTTGACAACATAGATAGGATGCTGATGCAAATCGAACTTACAGTCATAGCTGGGGACCAAGAGTCATATAGAATATCTGTAGACATGAAGTTTGGAAGAAAAATTTCCATTTTTGTCCCCTTCGTCAAGGTTTATTTCATTGAAATTGTGAATGAAACAAAAACATTTCACAGAATATACTATTCATCTCATTTTCTTTTCTTTTTTTTTCTCCACAATTCCGTAACACGATTAAAAAATTAAAGATAATCATTATTATATATTTTCCAACAAAGAAAACTATTCATTCACTCACATATTTCCAACTATCAATCATTATCAATTAATATTTTGTTACTTTTATATCAAATCAAATCTAATCAGTACATTTTTATCTTATACTCATTTATAATATCAAAACTATCTCATTTTTTTTCAAAAATAATATTTTCAACATTATATTCACCTTTTCCGGAGAAGACAATCCTCTTATGAACGAACTAGAATAGTGGATAAGAAGAGTCCCTTTTTTTATTTTTGTAATACCCTTTAGTGGTCTAGAAATAAAGATAAAATAAATGATATTCCAAAGGTGTCTGTAAGGACAATAATATTCCGAACGTGACAGCTAGGTAGAGAAAAAAAAATGGAGGTCTTATGAAAAAGCCCCAATTCTTACAATTTCTTGTAAAGGATGCTGCTTTTTAGCCACCGAGTGCGCAAAAGCATAAACAACTATCCCATTCCGAAATTTAATACTCCTCCCTCAATCGTACAAACTCTCCATAAGGGAGAAATCTAAATCACTTAAACTTGACTCATCTGACATCCAAAAAACTCAAAGCAGGGAGGTTTTCTGATTCTACTAATTCAATTTCGTTTCACTCATATGACACTTTACTACAAGCTATTCCCGTAACAAGTACAGTCGGGTAACACCCTCTACGTAACAAAAAGAAAAACGAACAAAAGTAAAAATATCACAGAGTCCTTTTCCACAATACACAACCACATCTAATATTCAAGGTAAAGAAACAATCGAGAGGGCACGAGATACACACCTAAACATATATGGCCATTACTATAAATGTGAGGATGCAGAGGAGCTGGAGGAACAAATATAACCTGCCCAATGAACAACAAACAAGAAGCTCCATAACTAAACCAACCCAAAACAAATACACAATCGTCACAACCACCCAAAACTCACACACAGAACACCTTAAATCCCAATCCAAAAAATTCCCAATTGCACCGACAAATTCAAAAAAACATAACGGAATTCGAACCGACGAATAAGTATATACCTGCGGTGCCTCCATTGGGTAATGCTCCGGAAAATCGACCTGAAGCTGATAAGTCTCCCCTGCATAAAGGGTACCTGGGGCACCGTTGACCTCAATCACCCATCTAACCATATGCCCAAAGCTCAAATCAAATACTATTTCGCAAATACATACCAAATTATTAACAAAAAACCTAAAATAATAACAATAATAATTAAAGTGAGCGAAAAGACGAAGAGACCTTTGAAGATTATCAGTGACTTTGTGCTTGAAACCCGCCGGCGGATTCACCTGCCACTCGACCAGCTCTTTCTGCAGCCGATTGCACGCGATCTTGCTCAGCGCCTTCAATTTCCACGCAAAAATTTCGATTCCAGAATAAATAAATAGAAACAATCAGTAATCAATCAATCAATCAGTCGACGCTTTTTTCAAAAAGGAAATCAAACGAATTAACAGACAACATCAATTAAGAAATACGACCTTGCGAGCGGATGCAGAGGGGGCAGTCATGGCGTTGGGCGGCAGAACAAATTGGTAGAGAGAGAAAATTTCAGAGAAAAAGAGAGAGTGAGGGCAATAAAGATACTTTTGGTGCTTGATAGCGTTTTCTTCACCCAAAGGAAATTTTATATTTTTATTTATTCATTATTAATTTATTATTGGCAATTTTGAGATAATACGTACAGTTGAAAATGGAGAGAATTGAGTTTGACTTGTGTACAGATGAATTTAGATGAGATCTGTGCCTTGGTCAAAAGGAAATTCGGATCTTACGGTTGGAGATCAGTTTGATCCACACGTGTGTGGCTGGTGAAGGTGCTGCCGCGGTGCGTGTCCCCGTAGGGAGGCCTGTGTGTGTGAGTGAACCCAAACAGCAATTAGGTTATGATAAAAATTGGGAAAAACGGGTGCGGGCCCATTAACATAAAGCGCATAAAGCAGAGAAAATTTATATGAAACTGAAGTGAGGTTCCATCCCAAAACTAATTGTTGAATGGAGGAGTAGCCCATTAGACTTATAAAGTTAGTCTATTTCAATGTACGAACGAAGTGTGACAACTCACAAGTGATATTCTAACATGCCGCCTCACTTGTGAGTCCTTCGGAAGTCTAAGGCCAAACTTGTGAGTCCTTCGGAAGCCTAAGCCCAACTACCATGTCAGAAACTTGGGGAAAACGAGTACGGGCCCACTACCATGAAGCGCACCAAAGCGGAGAAATCTCATATGAAACCAAAGTGGGGTTCCATCCCAAAACCAATTGTTGAAATGAGGAGTAGTCCATTAGACTTATAAAGTTAGTCTATTTTCCATGTATGAACGATGTGGGACAACTCACAAGTGATATTATAACAAGATACGTGTAACATAAAATAGTTGATAAATTGTAAGTGAATTTTAATCATAAATGGTTTATAGCAGTTTTACTGTGGAGCCATCAGATGGCTCGACTTATGGAGTCATCCACACTTATTCACCAATAGTGTATTGACACGTGTCTTACATTAAATACAATTTGGACAGGTGTCAACACATTAAGTGGTGGATGGCTCCATAAGAAAACCATCCAATGGCTCCATAGAATTTTTGTGGTTTTATGGTGGATGACTTTGATAAAATAAGACCATTTAGTAAAATTGTCTAATTAAATAAATATTCAATGAGTTTATTTGAAAAGCTATTAAATGAAACTTATGAGATAAGTTTGAATTTTTTTTTAAAACAAAAACTCGTCCAACAAAACTAAGCTTACTGCATATACAGAGGTTATAAGCTAACTAAATAATTTATAAATTAACTTATGATATTTATCAAACACACTCTTAATAACTTATGATACTTATCAAACACACTCTTAATAACATTCTATTGAAAGGTTCATCTTTATTTCCACGTCATGCAAGTTGCAACACAAATGTATAGAAAAAAAATAAACCTCCTTTGTTTTGGTTTAATCATTCCATTATCGTTAAAACTGATAATATTTGTGTCAAGATTCAGATTGATTTGATGTGAAAGTATGATAGAGACTGTGTGAAGTGGTGGTTGGTTAAAATTATGTGATTGGATGAATATGAAATTAAAGTTGATGTGATATATAAGAATTATTGATTGATATTATTTAAGTATATTAATAATATTGATAATAATGAGGTTGTGTTAAAGTAGAGTTAAAATTTTGAGTATAAATTGAGTTTATTTGTATCCAAACACACCCTCAATGTCTTTGACCTAACTCCATTTATCAATAGCCCATTTTATCAATGTTATGTTGGTTGTTGTATTTACTATTTAGTGTGAGTTTGGTTGGAAATTAGTAATGGGCTGGATTCCCACATGGCGTATTAGCTTTATCCAACAGACAGAATCAGACCCAATAACTTGTTTGTTTCATGCTCAATATTATTAACTATATAGAGAACTTTACATAAATACCCATCATTTACAATTAAATTTGAAACGTGTGCCCTTAAATCGAGTCCATGTCCTAGCTAAGATCGTTTGCTCTAACTAGCACAAAGGCCCAATTTCATGAATCCCAAGAAAAATAATTACAGATCTAACACTAAACAAAACTGGCTAACACCAATAGTGACCCCAAAACATGAATCAACAAGATGTGAATTAAGTTGAGTGTATGGCGTCGTTGAGCTTATTATGCAGATCCCAAATCTTCTCAAGCCCGACTTCAATATCATTTAACTCCATCTCCCATTTCATTTGTGAAATTTAAAAATAAAATAGAAAACGGGAAAATTTGAATTTTAGTGTTCCAATTCGAGTTAAAATAAATGAAAACAAAAGGGTTTCCAAAGGTATTTGTCCTAAACAAAAATTATCTACGAACAACTACCTAGTGGAGAACATAGGTGTTGGGACAGTGGTTGACTGATGTTGTGGCTCGCCGGTCGATGACTCCGACGTCGGCACCTTCTTCATACCCAATCCCTAGCAGACCCTCACAACTCTCATCTCGTCAGAGCACCAAGATTACCATATCCCAAACTGTTATTTCGAAAAGAACTGAAAGTTTGATGGGAAAGTAGCTTGGGGACATTTGTGTAATTTAGGCTTATGATCTCAACATGATAGTGTATCCAACAAAATTTGTGGGACACGGTATAAACAATTTAACAAATACATCGTCGGGCCAAGAGCCATTTTCAGGGTTTAAATAGTTGCAAACCAAATATGTTAAACCAGTGGATAAAATACCAAGTAGTTTGATATTACTCCCTATCATGTAAACCATAAGGGATTTAATCTGGATCGTCCGTTACCCCATGAAGCCCGATTTAGATGTAAGCCCTAATTTTTTTCTCTTCCTTTACATTGTGCCATATTGTTTTCTCTTCTAAGAGTTCCCTACCATCTGACTTTGTGTCAATCGAACCAACTTTTTCTTCCCTTATGAAATCTATGTGATAATTGGTCTATGAGTGTTGCAAGGATCTTAAGCTTGTATTCAATGAAGTGTTCTTCGTGAGACTCTTTAAGCATTTTCTAATGCGACTGATTTTGGACAAGCTTAGTGCGAACGGTGGGTGATGTTACTTATGGGACTTATAGAACTAGAGTCATAAGGGCCACATGCCCATCGTTTGGTTCATTGGTGTCTCGTTTAAGGAATTGAGGAAACAGGGTTGAGTCGAGTCTTTATAGACCCATCGTGGTGGTTTTAGGCCCTCGTTCTCTAATTTAGATTAATTTAACTAAATGGACTGTAGCTTCTTTTATTTTCATTAATGTTATTATTTTCTGATTTACACTTATAATGTGTCGCCTTTTAATTAGTTCGACTCGAGTTCGAGGCCTTAACGAGCCGAGCTCGAGCTCATTTAAAGCTCGTTTAGTTAACGAGTTGAGTTCGACTCGACTTGGCTTGAAAAGAGATTTTTGTATATACTTTTTTATAGTTCGGTTCGTTAAAGTTCGAGATCGACTCGCGATTTTTGGGTCATTTATTTAACAAGCCGAGTTTAACTCGTCTCATTAATAGCTCGAACTCGACTTAGCTCGTTTACCGTCATAGTTTTAATTAATGAATCTGCCCGTTAAAAAAAAAGGATTCAAATTACCACCCCATAGTACGCACGTGCCCTTCACGCACCAAATAAAGCTCATTCCCACGTGTAAAACCCTTCAACATTTACCTTCGGCTCCGGTCGCCGCAAGAGCCCCTCCAATGGCTTCGCCGCAGCTTCTACATTGCCGGAAACCCTCCTCCTCCTTAATTCCCTACAGAACCCCCCTTAAACCCTCCCATCGCTCCGAATCCGCCGCCGCCGGCCTCTTCTCCCTTCCCCACCTGCGGCGGCGCAGGCCCATCTCCCTTTCCTGCTCCGCTGCCTCCTTCCCGGATAATCACCACACCGATCCCCCTAAATCCGACGACGCCGTCGAGCTCCCCCTTTTCCCCCTCCCCTCCGTCCTCTTCCCCGGCGCCGCCCTCCCCATCTACATCTTCGATTTCCAGTACCGGATGATGGTGCACACCCTCCTCGACACCGACCTCCGCTTCGGCGCGATCTACGCCGACGCTTCCGCCTCCGGCGCCGCGGACGTCGGCTGCGTCGGCGAGGTCGTCAGGCACGAGCGCCTCGCCGACGATCGATTCTTCCTCGTCTGCAAGGGCCAGGAGCGGTTCCGGGTCACTCGCCTCGTCCGCACCAAACCCTACCTCGTCGCCGAGGTGACGTGGCTCGAGGACCGTCCCTCCGACGACGGCGGCCACGATCTGAACAAGCTGGCCGTCGAGGTGGAGACCCACATGAAGGAGGTGATCCGGCTGTCCAATCGGCTGGACGGGAAGCCGGAGAAGCAGATCCGGGACCTGAGGAGGAATCTTTTCCCGACCCCATTTTCGTTTTTCGTGGGGAGCACGTTTGAGGGGGCCCCACTGGAACAGCAGGCGCTGCTGGAGCTCGAGGACACTGCAGAGAGGCTGAGGAGGGAGAAGAAGACGCTGAGAAACACACTGAATTACCTGACGGCGGCATCTGCTGTTAAGGATGTTTTCCGGTCTTCGTAGCCAATTTCTCCGGAAATACAATGGTGAAGGGTACTTTTTTTTATTTATTTATTTCTGTTTTATGCATTGATATATGAGTATATGACTTAGTTTTGGATGGACATATGTAAATAATTTTGATGTGTCTAATTGATAAATAGAACTTTGCTTCTTTGTTGATGTGTTGTGGATCGTTTGGTGCTATGTGATTAATGCGAAAGATTGGATTTTTGAAGTAGGGATTTGACTTTGTGGGGTTGAGGTAGAATCTTGGTGATGATCATTTTAGTTGGTGTTTGAGCTACTTCATAGTTTTATGATAGAAAGAGAAGTGTGGTTTAATCTTGAGATTATTGGGATGTGTCATCTTAACTTTTTACAGTTCTTGAGTGCCTGAGAAGTGAGGCCATTCCATTTGTACAGTTATATGTACGTTTAATTGATTGTTTCCTGTTCTTGGGAGTTTTAAAAACGAGGTTATGGCGGATGTTTCTCCTCGATGAGTAATGTGAAATTTAGTGAAATGGGTATATATGCCTATGTATTGCATTGCGAGGGCTTGTCGTGAGAGAATATTTGCCATCTTTGTGAAAAATTGTTTTCAGAATATGCTTCACATTTCATGCCCAAGAAACAACATTGATGCTAGTGGTACATTACTTGAAAATGTAAGCTACATTATACATACACCCACCCTATTTTGCACTAAATGAAGTGTAACGAAAAAAAAAATATTCAAAGTACAAGCCGATAGCCTGTTCTCAGTATGCATGAACAGAAAAATTCCCATGATATGAAAGCTCATACGAATGAGTTCCAATCTTGGCAAAATGATGATCTGTAATACTAATAAAACTAGACATAACCAGAGTATGTTGTTTATGGTCCGAAAGAGAAAATGCCACTACCTTAACTCGTAAAAGAGCCCTTTTTCGATATAGGCTTCGCTAATGTAGCATTTCCAGTCCTCTGCAAAAACGACACATCCAAAATTGATCAAGAAAACAACATAGAACATGCAACAAGTTTGTTGTATCATATGTAATACGAGAATGAATGACGAAAAATCGAACCTTGAGGCATAAGTTTCTCATAGTATCACAAACCGGATAATTGCTCGGGCAACAATGACTATGGTCCTTGCAACAAACGGCAGATTCTACCCCACAGCATTTCCAATTCAAACAAAGCCCGAGAAAACTCCAGGCACAACAGCAAGTCTCCCCACTTGAGCAATAAGTGAAGAGATTGCACTTTATTGGGCCTGGGCCCGGTGAGGGTGGTGGGTTTGGGCTTTTCTTGATTGGGTATGAGGCCAGCATGTTGATCCCACACACTCCTTCTGCACTTTCTGTGTTCCTCTGCATGAACATGTACCCACTCATTCCCCAGTATTTTCCCCATGAGTTCTTTATTATCCAATAGTCCTTCCCATCTTTAGTGTCGTAACCGACTATTAGGACTGCGTGGTCGAGAGAAGTCGAGCATGGCCCGGAAAATATTCCCTGAATTTATTTTAGAACAAAATTATTTGTTATTAAAATGAATTTGGATATGAATATTCTCGAAATGTACAAAACATAGCATGTTTGTTTAGAAAAAAATATCATTCACATTCAATTCATATTCAAAATTTAAGTCAATTTTAACTCAACTCCTCCTCAGTAATTATCAATATAATTAAATAATACAAACCAATCATTCTTACTTATCACTTTACATCAGTTCTTCATACTTTAACATCAAATCAACTTTAACTATTTTATTTAAATATTATTTAATATAAAATCAAAATCTCACTAACAATTAACTATTCAACTTTTTCAAAATTAACACTAGTTAATCGAAAAAACTCCTTTTGAGCGGATTTATTTGTAAACAAACTCGTCCTAAGATTTTGAATGGTTTTAGCAGAAATGTGTGAAAAAATCGGTTAGGCAGACCTTTGAGTAAAGCTGGAAAGACGAGTCACTACCGCAAATACCGACACTTATAGGCTGAGTGGCCACAGCTCGTAATAACTTTTCCTCGTTTTTAGGTGGTATGTCGGCATAACTATCGATTGTCACAACGTGTCTTTTGAGCTATACAATGTAGATACAGAAAAGCCGAAAAGATTTTGTCAGAACAGCAAAAATGGAATAGACTAACAGACAAACAAGAGAAGCAAGAAGTAGAAAACTCGAAAAAAATGGTGTGTTTTAGAACATTTACTTTATCTTTGTTGCATGTCCCTTCTCGCCCTCGGTACGGATAATCTTCTTCAGTATTGATCCCTTTATTTTTTATGATGAACTCGTAAGCATAGTCCATGAGGCCTCCTCCACAGCCTGCATTATATGATTTGTCACAGTCTATCAGCTCTTGTTCAGACAAACTTACAAGAGATCCTGTCTTAATCTGATTAATTCCCTCAACTGCACCCGTGGCTGAGAACGACCAGCAAGCACCTACACGATGAAGACAGTAAGATTCTTCTTCTTCTTCTTTTT